ACCCATGAACCTCCAAAAATGACCCCTTATCGACCCCTTCTAGGACCCCTTAAAGAGCCCTTATAGAGCCCTCCTATGGATCCTTTAAAGGAGCCCGTATAGATCCCTGAAAGGAGCCCTAAACCCTAAACCCTAAACCCTAAACCCTAAACCCCCAAACCCTAAACCCTAAACCCTAAACCCTAAACCCTAAACCCTAAAGATAACCCCTCCGTTTTTCAGGGCTGAGACACCCAAAAACTGGGGACCCCGGCTCGTTGTCAGGGGCCTGTGCAGCTTAGGCTTAGGGTTTAGGGTTTAGGGGTTTAGGGGTTTAGGGTTTTAGGGTTTGGGAGGCAGGGTTTCGGGTTTCGGGCTTCGGGTTTAGGGGTTCAGGGGTCAGGGTTTTAGGGTTTTAGGGTTTAGGGGTCAGGGTTTCGGGTTTAGGGTTTCGGGTTTCGGGTTTAGGGGTTCAGGGGTCAGGGCTTTAGGGTTTTAGGGGTCAGGGTTTAGGGTTTAGGATTTAGGGTTTCGGGATTAGGATTTAGGCTTTCGGGCTTCGGGTTTAGGGCTACTGTGTTTCCTTAAACCTGCGAAGGGCCCGCGGAGACCTCAAACCAAACCCATCAACTCCAGATCCAATTCAGCCTCGTGTAGTATAGTCTAGTCTAGTGTGATATACGTATAGTGTAGTATAGTGTAGTCTGGTCTGGTATAGTGGTATAGCGTAGTATAATATTGTGTAGTATAGTCTTAATGGCAACCCTGATTCATAAACACACTTTCGGTAAGGTCTTCGTAGTAGAAACCCTGCAGTGAAGTTCTGGCACAAGAACGCAATGTCCAAGAACCCTAAACCCTAAGCCCTAAACCCTAAACCCTAAACCCTAAACCCCTACGCCAACCGCGGTTCACAAAACTCCAGTGGCTTCAAAAAGACGAACCGTAGAGGGAACCCGAACTTTCGGGGCCAGGTTCGTGTTATTGGGTGGTTGGTTTAGGGTTTAGGGTTTAGGGTTTAGGGTTTAGGGTTTAGGGTTTAGGGTTTAGGGTTTAGGGTTTAGGGTTTAGGGTTGGTTACTGAATTCTTCTATCATTCCTCATGGGTCTTTCCTTCCGTCGCTTCGAATTCCAGAAGGCTTGGACGCTCCGGGTGCTCGTGCGGCTACGTGAGACTAGTGGGCTGATGGGATCGCTCACTTCCAACCTCTTCCAACTGTTCAGACCCCAATACTATGGATGGGACTTCTCCATAAACCCGAGACCCTTAACCCTAAATGCCCTAAATGGATGGGACATGGAGGGGTGTTGGGTACAGCCACCCACCCAGTAACAGCTGACAAACAGTGATAACATAGCGTGTAGGGCTGAGGCTTTGAGATATATAAGGCCCTTGATGGTAGCCCTAACCGAGAGAACCCAATACCCCTTAATTAAGGAATATACCTTAAATCATACTAGTAAGGCCACGATAATTTAAGGTATATTCCTTTTAATTTTAGTTAATGGATATTGGGTTCTCTGGGAAGATAGGCGGCTACCGTATGGGAGGCAGTACCCAGGACGGGACTTAAACCCAACTAAACCCCCTGAGGTTGCCGGCTTAGGTCGGTTTGCGGTTTAGGGTTTAGGGGTTTAGGGTTTAGGGTTCAGGGTTTAGGGGTGAGGGTTTAGGGGTTCAGGGTTTAGTTTAGGGTTCAGGGTTTAGGGGTTTAGGGTTTAGAGGTTCAGGGTCTAGGGGTTCAGGGTTTAGGGGTTCAGGGTTTAGGGTTTAGGGGTTTAGGGGTTTAGGGTTTAGAGGTTAGGGTTTAGGGGTTCGGGTTTAGGGGTTCGGGGTTTAGAGATTATAAAATATGAATCTTGCGTTACTCATAATAAGGAATATACCACAAATCCCATAGGTTATGGTCCTTAAGGTAAGGCAGGATTTTGATCATCAGCAGTAGGGCCTTCGTGATCTTGAAGGTGCGCGATTGACCCTTGGATTGGAACCCTAAACCCTAAACCCTAAACCGGAGAGGACCAGGGGACTTGCCATGAGTTTCGAGCTAACGGCGGTTGACTCTCTTCTTCAACAACCAGGCCCAAAAAAGTTCACGCTTTAGGGTTTAGGGTTTAGGTTTTAGGGTTTAGGGCTTTCTAAGGATAGACCTAATAGACAAGGCCAAACAGTTTAAAGTTCTCCTATTGGCTATCCAAGTTGAGGGCTTAGCGCTCAGACATGCTGCAAACTGTACCTATAGTCTCCATTGTGGTTCCTTTGTTTGGTTTAATCAGTTGTATATTAAGGATTTTATGATGGATCTACAGTGGAGACTACAGGTAGGTTTGGGTTGCACAGGCAGGGTTTAGGATTCACTTGGAGGTTCAGGTTGCTTGTAAGCAGATCTTTTTCCCTTGACGATTGCCATGCATCGAGTACCATCTGAGATGGAATGGGGTCATCTACCACTCTTGCTCTAGGGTGGCCAGTCTACAATCCCCTCATACCCTTACAAAAACAACACTGTGGTTCATACTCACTCCCTTACCCTAAACCCCTAAGCCCTAAACCCTAACACCTAACCCCAAACCCCTAACTAGACCCTAAACCCCTAGACCCCTAAACCCTAAACCCTAAACCCCTAATTAGACCCTAAACCCCTAAACCCCCAAACCCTAAACCCCCCAAACCCCAACACTTGGGGCTTCCCTCTGAAGCATGGCTCCTAACTACGGCATGCAAGAGCAAGGCTTCGGAGTTCAACATAGGGGCCCTAAGAATTGGAATAGGGTTTAAGGTTTAGGGTTTAGGGCTTAGGGTTTAGGGTTAGAATAGGGCTTCCAGGGCTCCTTTACAGGTTTCCTTGAAAGGGATACCACAACGGCTAGTATAAAGATTCTATAATATAGGCGCCTTAATAATTAGAATAGTTTTTTTGGGGGAGGGGGGGGGTATATTCTACTATAACTTATAATAAGGAGTCTGCAAAAATTGTAGAGGCATTTATTGTAAGGCCCCTTTCTTAAGGGCTTGGGGGGAACTATGGCCTCCTGAACCTAGGGGCCTGAATACTTAGACCAGGGTTCACGGTTTAGGGTTTAGAGTTCTGGGGCATATTCTAGCATAAGTACAGTCGGAACTTGTCTGACGTGTGGCAAAAGTATACACAAAAGCATGGTATAAGGCAATATGACCATAAGTGGAAAATTTGTCGAACATATAATGAAGTAATGAATGCAGAACATGACCGTCAAGTAAAATATATGAAACTTTCAAACAAGCATAGATTAAACCGTGTATTACAGAATAACATAGCATGGCATAACATAACATACCATGACACAGTTCAATATAATGTAATCTAACCGGACATAGTGTAGTATAGGTATAATGTCACACAACACTATGCAATACTAGTGATATTATTCTGATAGTAAAATGAAAGAAGCAACAAGTAATGAAAGTAATCATTGCAATAATAGAACTGCCATAACAGAAGTGATAGGAGTAGAAATATGCAAAAAGAATCATAGTCATCAGAATAAATAGGACCATAGCAGGATTTCTTGCCCAACTTGGAGGTTCAGGGGCAGTTATAAGTAGGGTTATAAGTAGGGTAACTATAGTTATAACTTATATTAGGGGACTTATAGCTCCACATATAACTACCCATGAACCTCCAAGTCGTGTTCGTAGTGTCCTACCACCTCGGTTTAGCATTCCTAGACTTTGAGCTAACCAGGGAGAAAAACACATAGACTTTAATTTCATAATGGTTCCCTTAAGGAACAGGTCCCCAAAAAAGTATTCAAGTATGGTACTCCAGAACCCAGATTCTGTTCCCTGTCGAGTTTGCAGTTCCAGCTGCTGTCGCACATTTAGGGCTTGGGACTCTGACTTGAAAGTGGGTTTAGGGTTTGGGGTTTAGGGTTTGGGGTTTAGGGTTTTAAGGTGTAGGGTTTAGGGTTTGGGGTTTAGGGTTTAGGGTTTAGGGTTTGGGGTTTAGGGTTTAGGGTTCGGGGATTCGATTTTTTGCGGGCTTCTCTAGGCGAACGTCCGTCCGAAATCTCGGCTCCGGTCCTTTAACCACCCTCAAACAACGGAAAAAGGTTTAGGGTTTCGGGTTTAGGGGTTTAGGGTTTAGGGGTTTGGGGTTTAGGGGTTTAGGGGTTTAGGGTTTAGGGGTTTAGGGTTTAGGGCAATAACAATAGCCAGGATAACATATATATATATATATATATATTCTATACACATACGTATGACAAGAAATATGCTTGTGTGTTTCAACAAAAAACAATCCCTACCAATGAGCACAAAGCCGCGACATGAACATCAGAAATCAGGCAAAGCAGCATGCTCCCGAATGTACTGGAGCACCTGGGTGCAGTCAACCCTAAACCCAGAACCCCTAAACCAAAACGAACCTGCCTTGGCAACCAAGGCTTTCGAGTTTCGGCTTTGCGGAATCCCTTAAGCGTTAGAAACATTATCAACACACACGCGATCCGTCGGAGATATGTTGCACGTAATAAAAAACTTTGAATTTTCATGCTTTTTCTGAAAACACTATAGTTTCGGGGTAGTAGAGTTTGAACGATTATCAGAATTTAGGGATTGTGCTTTGGGGTTTGCCGCTTGTCCAGCTTAAAGGCTTCAGGGCTCCTTTAATCACCAAATCCCTGTACCTACAGGTTATCCCTGAATGAAATTCACCAAAAACTCCTTTCGCCCAAAGATTCACAAGGATTGTCGGGTATGTTAAACTGTAACTATGTCTCGGTATTTGGTATTTATTCGGGCACAAGAAAAAGGCTTCCACCAAACTGTTTAACGCTCCTACAGAGCTCTCCAATGTAGTGCAGTTCCGTGTTCTGTTTGCTTGGCTGCTTGGCTATACATAGGTTCAGATTTCTCGGTCTTCGACCACCAGAATACTTGGAGGTTCAGGGGCAGTTATAAGTAGGGTTATGAGTAGGGTAACTATAGTTATAACCTATATTATGGGACTTATAACTCCACATATAACTACCCATGAACCTCCAAGTAATTACTGGTTAACAGGAGAAGGACGGTGGGATGGGCTATCTTGGCAGGTGTCATCTCTGAGGCACGCCATCGAATAGACGTTGATCATCTGCTTCATCCAGTGCATAAGTTCGCGTGCATAAGTCAAATCCTTGGCTGAATTGAGTCATTCACCACGGGGACCTCTAGGGAGGTAACGGGGGGAACGGGGGGGGGGGACCATACTTCCTCAAATAAGCCCTATTTCATCCTCATTACATGCATTATGGCCCCCTACACCCCTCTCCTCCTACACCCCTAAAAGTCGGTCGAACCTGACTTGCTCAGCGCTGATTTAGCATGCAGGGCTTCGGGCGTAGGGACTGTACTTGCAGTTTCAGGAAACCTAACAGCTGTACCTACAACTTAGGGTTTAGGGTTTAGAGTTTAGGGTTTAGGACTTACACTTACACGAAATGTAACTTTTACAACCCAAGCAACTATTCTCACAGTTTTCGAATGGCTCAAAACCTAAAGTTTGATTTGAGCTATGCCAGGTTGAGCATCCTCGTAGCACCTGGAGGTTCATGGGAAGTGGAGTTATATGTCCCCTAATATAGGTTATAACTATAGTTACCCTACTTATAACCCTACTTATAACTGCCCCTGAACCTCCAAGTAGGGCCTTAATGATGAGGATAGGCTTGTTTTGGAAGCTCAAAGGCTCCCCCCAAAGAGGCCTATTACAAAATTGGGGGGTTTCTGGTCTTGGGGTTTAGAGTTTAGGGGTTTAGGGTTTAGGGTTACCTGTAGTCTCCATTGTAGTTCCTTTTTTGGATTTAACCAATTATATATTAAGAAGTTTATAACGCATCCCCAAAAAGGAACGACAATGGAGACTATAGGTAGTATGATCATGCTACAGCTTCTCGTCTCTTTAACTCATTCGCGAGGCAGTACAGAGAGGCTCGGCCAGCTCTGCTACATGGGTCGGTCTCTAAATCAGAGTCCCTTTTAGGGGGTTCTTTTCTCTCTTCTTCAACAACCAGGCCCAAAAAAGTTCGAACTTTTTAAGAGAGACCTAACAGATAAGACAAACAAGCTTAAAGTTCTCCAATTGGCTACCTAAGTTTTTTTCTAAGGGTGCCGTACTACATTTGGGATCTAAACGGGGGCCCTAACGTGGAGAACTACCCACATAACATTTCAGCAAGATGCAGCAAGCCCGGAATGCTACTGCTGCTACTGCTGCTACTACTACTGCTACTGCAACTGCTACTACTGCTGCTGCTACTACTACTGCTGACTACAAGACTAGTAATGCTACTACTGCTACTGCTACTGCTACTCTTCTACTGCTGCAACTGCTGCCAGCACCACTACTACTATCACAAATTTCCACCCAGCAGCTGGGGGCAAGAAAGTCTCGACTCGAACTCGACCCAGTCGCAGCAGGCGGTATTGGATGAAACTCCCATTCCTGGGGTTTCGTAGAATTGGCTTAGGAAGTTGGGGTTTAGGGATTAGGAGGTTGGGGTTTAAGGATTAGGGTGTGGGCTTGTTCGGCGGAAAGTCTATGGTGTACTTGGACCCTCCGCAACCATCGTCCTTTTAAGCATATCCGCGTTGGAGCTATAGGTGACTATTGCTATTAAAATACCTTACTTCTGGCCCAATTTCTTCTTCCACCTCATCCCCGGACGGGTCAAGTACCGAGTAAGCATATAGTTGGCTGAATACTATCCTACAAGACTACGATCCTGATCCGAAGTACCCAGTGAGATATATATATATATATATACATATATATAGTACGCCATTTGGACCCTCATATTCTCCTTTAAGCAAGCTTTGGGGCAGCCGGAGCAGTCAGAGACCGTTTTCATGGGTTGTTTGTCTAAAGGCTCAGTAAGTTTAGGGTTTAGGTTCCCTAAACCCTAAACCCTAAACCCTAAACCCGGTCAGCTCAATCTGGCTTCTTCCCAAGGGGTCCGAGGTACTGTCATGGGGGATACTTCCCCAAATCATACCAGAAATTCCTACTATCAAAACCCAACAGCCCGCTCCTGCCGAAGGTCTCCCTCTAATCCTAGAATTATGTGGCCCTTACTTGGAGGTTGCGTTAAGTAGGTTTATAGCTAGGGTAACTAACTGTAGTTATATCCTATATTAGGGGACATCTAACTCCACTTATAACTACTCATGAACCTCCAAGCAATGATTAGGCAAGCGATGTTTCGAGGTTTTCAGACTTCCCGTTCAAGAGGTCTGTACGTCTATACCCAAAGGGTCCAAAGTACCTATATAGCGGAATGTAGGATTATTCTGATAGGTTTTGATATTAGGCATTAATGTTTTGATTTGGGGAAGTATCCCTCATAACAGTACCTAGGACCCTGAAGTAATTTGGTATACGGGTTACCGCAAGCGTGGTAGGTTGTTGGATCCACAGGTCCACAAACCTAACCCTTAGCAGCCCTACACCCTGAACCCAACAATGTTGGAATGTTGCTCAGTGTCGAGGCCTGAACAAGTAGCAATGCCATTCTTACTATATATGGTATACATCTAAAAAGCATAAACCAAAACCCCATCCTAAACCCAACCCTTCTGGTAAACCCTAAACCCTAAACCCCTAAACCCTAAACCCCTAAACTCAAACCCCCTAAACCCCAAACCCCTAAACCCCTAAACCAGAAACC